CCATCCACCCACCCACTCACCCACCCAACCATCCACCTATCTATCCACCCATCCATCCACCTACCCACGCACCCACTCATCCATCCATCCATCCATTCATCTATCCAGCTATCCATCCACCCACCCACCCACCTACCTACCCACTAAGCAGATACTTTTTTAAAAATTGCTTTCTTTCTTTATTTTTTGCTGGTATCACAGTTTGAATTTAGAGCCTTATGTTTGCTGGGCTTGCGTTCTCAGCAGGCATTTATACTGTTCGAGCCATGCCTCCAGCCTAAGCAGATACTTATTAAGAATATAGTGAGTGCTGGAGGCTCAGGTCCACAATCCTAGCTCCTTGGGAAGCCGAGAGCGGAAGAATCTTGGCTTGAGGCCAATAGGAGCAGAAAGGTTTGCAAGACTCTAGCTCAAAAATAGGAAAACAACAACAACAACAAAAATCAGGGCCGGAGGTGTGGCTAAAGTTAGAGAAAACCAACCTGGTGAAACACAAGTCAAACTCCCAATACCGGCCTCCAAAATACAATGACCAAAGTCTAATAGATGTATATATTCAGATAGCATACTAAAAACCTTTTTAAAAATGTGGAGGGGGATAGAGAATAGTAATAGACGTGATGGGTTTGATGGATGTACATTATGCATATATAAGGATGGTATAATAAAACACCTTTGCATAAATAATATACACTAATAGTAATAAATAGAAATAGAAATATATATATATATATATATATGCGCAGCACTGAAAAGGTAGCAGTTAATCTGATCTTGGTACTCAGATTTCAGTCAAGGAGACAAACCACAAGTACATGACTAAGTAAAAAAAGGTGATTATAGAGGTCAGCGAGTTCCCCCCGAGGGAGATACATAGAGAGATAGAATGGAGAATTACTGGAGAATGAAGAACACCAAGGGGTATTTCTCTGTCAGGCTGTGTTCGGAGCTGATGTATAAAGGTCAATAAGGTACCCGTTATGCAGAGATAGGGAGGAGCTGTGCAGGGGTTGTTGAATGACTTTGTGAGGGACAGGCTGACACTGAAGCCTTACCCTCAATTGCTGGATTAGCAAGATTTTAGAAGTGTCCTATGCAGGGAGCTCTCTGATTCCTGTGTTGTTTATTTATTTGTCCATCGTGGGGCTTGAACTCAGGGCCTGAACACTGTCCCTTGGCTCTTCAGCTCAAGGCAAACACTCTACCACTTGAGCCACAGCACCACTTCCGCTTTTCTGAGTGGTTTATTGGAGATAAGAGTCTCAGAACTTTCCTGCTTGAGCTGGCTTTGAACCGTGATCTTCAGATCTCAGCCTCCTGAGTAGCTAGGATGACAGGCGTGAGCCACCGGCGCCTAACTTCATATTTCGCATTTCATAGTGCACAGAAGTGATTCCCTATCCCATAATAAGGTAGTGAAACTCTATTCTTCCAATATTCTATAATCTCTATGCTCTACCACTTGAGCCACAGCACTACTTCTGGCTTTTTCTGCTTATGTGGTGCTGAGGAATGGAACCTAGGGCCTCATGCATGCAAGGTAAGCACTCTACCACTGAGCCACCTTCCTAGCCCAATTTTTTTTTCTTAATGACACATCAAATTATTGATAGTGTCTCTGACTTTATGAAATATATTAGGTAAATACATTTTTGTCCCCCAGTTAAATGTTAGAATGATATTAAATAAAACATTTTGGTTCAAAAACTCAAGGGATATTCTTATCCCAATAATTGATTTCCCCCCCCAATAAACGTGATGTAACAAAATCGCGACACCGCAGCCCAATAAAGGGGTGTTCAAATGGCACTTGACAATATTGATTTTTAAACCTCAGCTCCCACATTGATAAAACGAAGGCAGCGGAATTTACCTCGCGGCGTTTTAGAAGTGAAGTCATGATTTTTTGATCGGGGCTTTTTATTCCACCCAAATATGCCGTAAAATCATAAGTAAGTTCATTCAGTCGCTAATAGCAAATAGATCCCTGAGATCTACTGGAGAAGTGTGTTTTTCTTCTAGTGTTGTTCGGAAGACCTTTGTAGTATACTGTTATTTCTAGGGTTGCCGTAGGAGACTGGAATCCTCTATTAATATCCGAGGTATTTAGCTGTGTTCCCTATCACAGGAATGTAAGGCTCAGCATATATAGGTGATTGAACAAAGAAAGGGTCAAGCTTCTGACCTTGAGTTATGTTTAAAACCTATCCAGGCATGGTGATGCATGCCTGTAGTACAAACTTTGGGAGGCGGAGGTAGGATTCTGAGTTCTAGGGTTGAACCCTTTATCTCAAAATACAATACAATAAAATAAAATCCAAACTAAATAAACATCTCTCTCTCGCTACAAAATTTTCCACCCCACTGATAACCAAAGACGAGAGAGTGAGAAACGCTGCTGGAAAACCAGTCTGGTTTCTTTCACTTCGAGAAAACTTCAAGGAAAAAAATAAATAGAAAGAGGGAGATGGAGAGGGGAGGGAGAGAGAGAGAGAGACAGACAGACCAACCAATGAAAAGCAATGAAAAGACATCTCACTCAAATACAATGTTTGGCCTTCATTCAAATTCCAATGTAAAAATACACGGCGAACCAAAATCAGTTGTTCTATAAATGAGCACATGGAGCAAATCTGAACGAATGGCAGAATTGGCCAGCATTAATATTCTTGGGTGTGAGTGTCATTTGGTACACGTGTATTGGAAGGGAGGTTAGCTAGACTTATTGACGTCTTTTCAGAGGAGACGAGATGAGAGCTGTATGATCCTATCACCTGATGATTCCAGATGTCAGTCAACCAACCCAAAGTAGATCCACCAGGCTTACATCAACTGACCACAAAAGCTGGAGGAAGTCAAAGCAAAGCCGGCCTGATCAGCTCCACCCCACTTGCCAAGATATAGAACGATCGGCTACACAAATGTCACATTCAACCATTAGATCTCTGTTCTGCCACAAAATACTGTATTCAACTATGAAATCTGGAGCTAGTGTGTCATGCAACAATCGATGATTGATTGAGAGATATTTCACATTTTTATAGCTTCCAGTTATACCAGGAAGTTATGACTACAGTTGTATTGATCAGAAGCTAGGGCCTTTGTTGATTGAGCAGAGTTATTGCCTAATTATCACTTTCCCTAGCAGAAGAAAACTCTATCTATCTATCTATCTATCTATCTATCTATCTATCTATCTATCTATCTATCTATCTATCTATCTATACTGTCTATCTGTCTCTCTGTTTCCAGTTGTGGGGCTTGGACTCAGGGCCTGGGCACTGTCTCCGAGCTCTTCAGCTCAGAGCAAGTGCTCTCCCGCTTGAGCCAAAGCAGTACTTCTGGTTTTCTGGTGGTGGTTCATTGGAATTAAGAATCTCACAGACTTTCTTGCCCAGGCTGGCTTAATCAGTTTATTTTAGCAAGATCTTTTTTTATGTACTAGCTCGATATTATATATATATATATATATATATATATATATATATATATATATATATGCGCGCGCACACACACACACACACACACACACACACACACACACAAATCCAATTTCTTAAATAGGCATCTGACCTTTAGTCGGCGGTCTGGATCTCCACTGCAGAGAGAATTTACAGAGACTTTGAAGGACTTCCAGGCTGGGCTTAAGTTATTCATCACAACCTGGGAAGAAGAAGAGGAAGACGTGTGAGTTGGAGGAGTGGATTCTGGACATTTTCACATCTCCACATAAGAACAGGCTTGTGAAGCCATGGTGGGGGCCTGTGAACAGAACCGTGGTCTAGAATACGTGGCTTAACCAGGACCTGGAGGAGAAAATCTGGTCCCTGGCTGGGTGAGGGGGCTGTTTCATGAATAATGGGTGGTGATGTTTTCCACCGTGGATACTCACGATAAGCCTGGAAACAAATGTTCTGGAAACAGGGTAGCTAGCAGCGGTTAGGTGATGAATTTAGGGGGACAATGCTGGTGGCTCTGGTGGCTCACCCCTGTCATCTTAGCTACTCAGGAAGCTGAGATCTGAGGATCTTGGATCAAAGCCAGCGTAGGTAAGAAAGGCCGTGAGACTCTTATCTCCAATAAACCACCAGAAAACCAGAAGTGGTGCTGTGGCTCAAGTGGTAGAGTGCTCTCCTTGAGCTGAAGAGCTGAGGGACAGCGCCCAGGCCCAGAGTTCAAGCCCCACGACTGACAAAACAAAAACAAAAATAAAAATAACCCCCCAAAAACCCTATAAATTCTTAGGTTTCGCCCACTCCTACTTTCAGACTCTGCTCTGAGGGATGTTCGCATGAGAGCTAAATGAAATTCTTTCCTATTGATTTCTTTTTTTCTTATGACTCCATTTAGGTAATATTCCTCTTAGAAAAACCTCAGTGTTTCTAAAAGAAATATTAGTTCTCTATCCAACCCAATTACTTCCTGAGAGAGTCCTGTGCTGGATTCTCGCTTCTAATGACGGGGGTCATGAATGACATGGCAGACTCGTTATTCAACGTATTTGGGTGGTTTATTTATTTATTTTATTATTATTTTTGGGGGGTCCGGTCATGGGGCCTGAACTCTGGGCCTGGGCGCTGTCCCTTAGCTCTTCAGCTCAAGGCTAGCGCTCTACCCCTTGAGCCACAGCACCACTTCCAGCTTTTTTCTTTTTGCTTATGTGGTGCTGAGGAATCGAACCCAGGGCCTCAGGCATGCAAGGCAAACGCTCTACCACTGAGCCACCTTCCCAGCCCCTTGGAGTGGTTTAAAGCATAGGAATCCTGCCCCCTGGCACGTGGGTCTTGATTCCTGCTACCCTGAGGATGATCGAGTTACAGTGGGACAGAAAATTAGATCTCCTGGATGGAGTTGGGTTCATTTTAATTCCCTGTCTGTATGCTAAGACATGAAGAGGCTTCCATGCCATCGTTTTGGGAAACTGAAGAAAAAGGCAAGTCAGAATTCCAACTTGAAATTCCTTATGGATTTTCAAATCTGTGTTTAGCTCTGTGTGTGTGTGTGTGTGTGTGTGTGTGTGTGTGTGTGCGTGCGTGCGTGCACAAGAATATGCGCACACGTGTTGGTGTCATGGCTTAAACTCTTGGAACTTCGTGCTCTTGGTTGACTTTCTTGGGAATTCTAGCAGACATTCCTGTCCAGGCTGGCTTTGAAGCTCAAATCTCTAATCTCAGACTCCTGAGTAGAGAAGATGACAAGAGTATCCCACCCCCTTTTCCCCTTCTACCCCACCCAGAGTCTGGTATGGAAGACAACCTGTACAAGCCATTTCATAGGTCAAACATTAATATCCATAATCTACAAAGAGCTCAGAACAACGCAACAGCAAAAGATGAAATGGTCCAGTTGCTACATAGGCAAACAGATCCAATAAATGTGCAGCAAGAGAAGCACAAATGGCTAATAAATGCATGGCACATGGTTCAACATCTTTAGCCATAAGAGGAAATGCGGATCAAAATTACATTAAGATTCCATCTCAGCCCATCATGATGGAAATCATTCAGAAAACAAACAACAAACACGTATGAGGATATAGGAGGAAAATCAACAGGGGCAGGGGGTGGGGGTGGGGGGTGTTATCAACACTCCTACACTGACACCGTTGGTGAGAATGTAGACTAGTGCAAACACTCGCGAGATTAAATGGCTCACGCCTGTAAATCCTAGAGACTTGGGAGGCTGAGATCTGAGGATCACGGTTCAAAGCTGGCTCAAGCAGGAAAGTTCGTGAGACTCTTATCTCCAATAAACCACTCAGAAAAGCGGAAGTGGTGCTGTGGCTCAAGTGGTAGCCAGCCCGGGCAAGGAAAGTCCGTGAGACTCTTTTCTCCAATGAACCACTCAGAAAACTGGAAGTGGTGCCGTGGCTCAAGTGGTAGAGTGTTCGCCTTGAGCTGAAGAGCTGAGGGACAGCGCCCAGGCCCAGAGTTCAAGCCCCATGACTGACTAAAACAAAACAACAACAGCAAAACCTACCTTATGGCCTGACTATACCCTTCTTGGCATATATATATATATATATATATATATATATATACGTATATATATATATATATATGTACGTATATATATATGCTTATATATACATATATAGGCATATATGCCAAGAAGGGTATAAATATATATACGCACACACATATATGTATGTATATATGCGCATATGTGTGTATATATATGTGTGTGTGTATATGTGCATATATACACATATATACATATATAAGAATTATGTATATATATACACATATACACATTGTAGTATTACTAATATGTGATAATTCAATGAGGTCAATCATCACCTTAGCAGGCAAGCTGGAAGGCCAAAGAAGACTCTTCTTACCTCAGTTCGGTGTACGAGCTGCTGAGTGGCATCATCATTCATCCGAAAAATTTCCAGGAAGGGGTCAGATTTACTGAAGAAATCCTAAAACAGACAGATGGCAACAACTTGGGTTGCATCCCGCCAGAAACTGCGTACAAAAGATATCCTAGGCTGGGAAGGTGGCTCAGTGGCCTAGCAGGCCTGAAGCCCTGGGTTCGATTCCCTCAGTATACCACAAGCATAGAAAACGCCAGAAGTGGCACTGTGGCTCTCAGGTGGTAGAGTGCTAGCCATAAGCAAAAAGAAGCTCAGGGATAGCGCCCAGGCCCTGAGTTCAAGCCCCAGGACTGGCAAGAGATAAAAAGATATCATAAGGTAACACCTTTCTCTTAAGCCTGGAAGTTATGAGTTTCCCCCCATGGCTAATATTCTCCAAAGGACATCCTAATGGCCCTGGTAATTTGACCTTAGTCAGGGTGGCTTTCTAGAAGATTTCCAACCACTCGGCCCCCATTCTTCATTTCAGGGTCAGTTTTTTTATGACGGTCTGTTGGCTTTCTCTGTCTGTTTCTCCTAGGGGCATCTTTGTGTTGTTGTTATCGCTGCTGTTCAAAAGATCCCTGAATATTTAATCCTGTCTGGGTTCTCAATTTCTCAGGGGCGGCAGACTAGCAAACATGGAGTGACTCTTGCATTATTTCACCTTGGAATCTCTCTCTCCTCCTCTGTGAGTGGAGTGGGGTTTGGGAGTCACACCTATCAAATGGGGCATGCACAATGCACAAGGGAAGGGGCGTGATCATGTGTGAGGTAAGATCTTAACCCTTTGCTGGCCAAGCACCAGTGCTTAAATAAGTATCACTTTTCTTCTCTTTTTACATTTTCCTGCTTTCCTCTTAACAATGTTCCTGGGCTGAGAAGGTGGCTCAGTGGTAGAGCGCTTGCCTTGCATGCTCAAGGCCCTGGGTTCAATTCCTCAGCACCACATAAGAAAAAAGAAAAAAGCCGGAAGTGGAGCTGTAGCTCAAGTGGTAGAGCACTAGCCTTTAGCTAAAGAGCTGAGGAACAGCGCCCAGGCCCAGAGTTCAGGCCCCATGACCGGACCCAAAAACAAAACAAAAAAAACAATGTTCCTATGATGCCAGGGGTTCATATTCCTATTTTTTCCTAGGACACAGCTGACCGATGGCATCCTGGGAGCTAAGGAAGTTGTGGTGTCATCATCATCATCATCATAAGTTGTCCTGTTTTAAAGCCAGGCACCAGTGGCTCCCACCTCTCAACACAGCTACTCAGGAGGCTGAGATCTGAGGATCGCAGTTCAAAGCCAGCCCAGGCAGGAAAGTCCGTGAGACTCTTATTTCCAATGAACCACCAGAAAACCGGAAGTGGCGCTGTGGCTCAAGTGGTAGAGCGCTCGCCTTGAGCTGAAGAGCAGAGGGACAGCGCCCAGGCCCTGAGCCAAGCCTCTACATGTCCTATTTTAAAGTCACCTCCCCTGCTCCCCACTCCCATATCATCAGCTGTTTCTGGCTTCAGGGGGAGGTGGGGGGAAGGTCTCATTTAATTCAGCACATCCCTCTGGAACTGTGATGGGCTTCATAACCACGAGGCTTGGAAGAGACGCAGAACATCTGCAGGAACATCTGTGTGTTTATACTTCCATAAGTGTAATGGCGAAGCTCTTACCTTATCATCCAACTTCCGAGCATTGAACGCAAGCTCCACGTAGTCGTCATTGCCGGATAATTCTTCAGCAATCACCTGAGGGGGAAGATGGGGAGAAGCACCCATCAACCACAGAGCCAAGGGGAGTGCTTTACCGCTTGAGCCACAGCGCCTCTTCTGGTTTTCTGGTGGTTCATTGGAAATAAGAGTCTCACGGACTTTCCTGACTGGGCTGGCTTTGAACTGCAATCCTCAGATCTCAGCTTCCTGAGTAGCTAGGATGACAGGTGTGAGCCACTTATGCCTGGCTAAGAGTTTCTTTACAGGTCACCAGGCATTGGGTGAGACTTGCATACATAATTATGTATGCATGTATGCATGTATGTATGTATGTATGTGTATGTATGTATGTATTTTCCCTCATCGGGAAATTACAAAACAGTTCCTACTTCTCAAAGACTGTTGTGGGATTCAAGAGAAAAAGAGATGAAGGAGAAGTGGGAGAGAGGGAAGGAGGGAGAAGGAAAGAGAGGAAGAGAAGGAGAGACAGAAAGAAGAGAAAGCAGAGGAGGAGGAGAAGGAGGCAGAGGAGGAGGAGGAGGAGGAGGAAGAAAAGTGGTTAAAAAAAAAAAGCCCCAGTTCTGCTGGCTCATTCTAGCTATTCAGGAGGCAGAGATCTGAGGATCGCAGTTCAAAGCCAGCCCAGGCAGGAAAGTCCATGAGACTCTTATCGCCAATAAACCACCAGAAAACCAGAAGTAGTGCTATGAGTCAAATGGTAGAGCACTTGCCTTGAGTAGAAAAGCTTAGGGACTGTGCCTAGGCCCTGAGTTCAAGCTCCAGGACTGACAAAAACAAACAAACAAACAAAAAAACAACACTGGTACAGGCGGAGAAATGAAATTCTCTAAGAAGCTCTTTTATGAGAAATCACTCCCTGTCCTTTCTCAGCCTTTTGACTAACATCAAATGTCACAAGAAATCCCCCTTCCAATATTTAATAACCCATGACTCTTAAGGCCCTGGAACAGAAGTCGGTGAGAAAAGTCGGTAGGAAAACAGTAACAATAAAAGCCTGCCAAACCCAGAGTCTAGGGTGGCTGCATGTAGGTTAGATCATTTATAAATAACATTAGGATTTTTAATCAAGTGCTCGGGGACCATGATACACAAAAACCCTTATCAAATGGGATATTTTGAGACCCTGGTATTTAATTCAATGTTATCTCTATTCTCTCAGGGCTCAACTTTCCCATTATTCATGGCTCTGAATACCCAATGGTAGCTTTTGCAAACGTATTTGCCCCTAATGTTAAAGAGACATTCACCTCACACAGGAGAAGCTACCGGCAATTGCAAATCTTAAGTCTAGGGATAATAGGAGACATGTAGGAATTGCTTTGTAACCTAGGAATCATAGTTATACTTTTTATTTGACTTTACTTTTTTTTTTGGTCCGTCATGGGTCTTGAACTCTGGGCCTGGGCGCTGTCCCTCAGCTCTTCAGCTCAAGGTTAGCGCTCTACCACTTGAGCCACAACACCACTTCCAGGTTTTTTTCTGCTTCTGTGGTGCTGAGGAATCGAAGCCAGGGCCTCATGCATGCAAGGCAAGCGCTTTACCACAGAGCCAACTTCCCAGCCCTATATATTAATTTTAAATTAAACTAAAAGCAGATATTGTTTTCGACCCATCAAGAGTGGAGCTCTTGCGAGCAAGAGTTACTTTCGGCTAACAGCCACGATGACTAACAGGGGAGCAGTGTGTATTGCGGGGAACCGTCGGTGGCCGGGGGCCGGCAGGAGAGGCTCACCGTGATGGAAGACTTGCCGGCCGTGTTCCCGTGCTTCAGCAAGGACTTGGACAGCTTCCTCTGGGAAACAATCTGCCCAAGAGGAAACAAAAAGGAAGAGGTCCTCGTCATGTACCTGTGTGTCTATTTTAAGTTATTTTCCCCCCACAGGATCCTGCATCCATAGCGCCGCTCAAAATGGTGGTATCTTTGTTGATTTGTATTCCCAGGTTCAACTTTATGCCTCTCATAAATCAGGTTTTCCCTCCTTCCCTCCCTGCCTCCCTCCCTCCCTCCCTCCCTCCCTTCCTTCCTTCCTCCCTTCCTCCCTTCCTTCCTTCCTCCCTCCCTCCCTCCC